GCAAAACCCCTCGCCTTGTCTATCCACTGCCATAACTATCAGCTGTGTTTCTTCCTAGGCTATACGTGCTGTATAAATTTTCTGAATGAATGTGGTCATACCTGCGGTCATGTACATTTAGCAATGCCCTTGTTATTCCTTCGCTTGTCAAAAATGCACACCACCGCCCCTTACTCCATTTTACTTCGTTTTCGTTCCGTTTGCCGCCTGTGTTTTGCGCCTTGCTCTGCAGGTGAGCTTCTCCTTTCCCTTTGGGTTTAGGGTTTTTATCACCGGAAAAAAACTAGGATGAGGTGTTGTCGCTAAAGGAGGGGACGTCCCATGCTGCGCTCCATTACTCGCCAAATGTGAAAAATAACGGATGCACCTTCCCGTTCAAACCGGAAATATACATTCGCCACTCTTCGCATTTGGCGAGTGGTGTGGCGAGCGAGGCCGTAATTGCTCTGACGACGCTTGTGACGACCGACTGCAAGCTGGGTATGAGGTAGGTCGATAGAGAAAGAATGGACGCATCTGGCCACTCCCTGTGGGAAGATGCAGTCGTACTTTTCTCGTTTCGACAGTGGTGTGGCGATGCCCTTTATCTAGTTATTTAGCTTCGTTACAAGCCGGTAGTCTGGCGAAACCGCCTGTTGCAGCCCCGCTTTTGTCGTCCTCTTCTACCTCTCTGCCTGCAATTCAGTGCGCTGTTTTGTGAATATGGCCTCCTGATGAGTCAGTGGGTGAAACTCCGACGAAACTGTTTGTCACAGCGCCTCGTTTATTGTCCTCTTCTGCCTCTCTGCCAATGGTGTACTGGGCAGTTTCTGTCTGACGATATATATATACACATATGTATGCTATTTGACGATATACTTTGGATCGACGCCTCGCCGTCCGCCACCATTATCTAGATGTAAATTTATCTTCCTATATCCTGTGCTGCTACCCTAGCCCCACAATTGGCTAATTGGCGTGCTGCAGTCTTGCGTCACTGTGAGTGCAACATGACTACCGCATCACCATTGCGACAGCCTCGCTCTTTGCGGCACGCGCATACGGCCCTGCGTCAGCTTCAAGAATCCTTTGCGATTGTTCCTGTGGACAAAACATCACATAATTTGGCTATTTGCTGTAAAAATTGGTACAAATTCAAACTGTCAAGCCACCTTGACAGTCCTACGTATTCTCGGCCTGCTGAATCAGTGGCTGACATTCTGAATAGCCATGCAGTTTGGAACAATCATTGGAATTATCCTCATGCTGACACATTGCCGTATCTCTATTGTGTTCTTAAGGCCTATAAATCTYCTCCCACACTCCGTCCTATTCTTGGTATCACTGCCCGAAACAATCTTTCTTCTTCCTCTTCCCATACGGCCCGGCGAAGTGACCTGCACCCTTCCCAACGAGTCCAGCGTTTGCATCACCGACCGCCTCACAAGCCGGTAGCTAGTACAACGCCTACTTCGGCTCGTTTGAGTACAGCACTTCAAGGCGTCATCCGTACTCTTCGCGAAAAAGATAATCAACTCTTTCGAACCGAAGGTATTCGACGATGTTGGATTGTTCAGAGCAGTGACGAGGTCATGCTTGACCTCAAAAAGAATAAAGCTTCTCTTAGAGGTCTGGCCCCGCATACAGTTGACTTCACTACTATGTATACTAATCTTTCTCATCAACGAATTCTTGGCAATGTTGCTAATGCCGTTGATGAGGCGCATGCCTACGCTCTTGCACAGGTACGGCAGCATACACAGACACGCTCATCGGGTGTTGCTCTTCGTATGCTGGTCCGTGGACCCCGTGCAGGGGAATGGACTACGGATACGGGACCTGACACTCTTTCTGTTTCTGACATTCTTCAACATCTTCGGTTTATTGTTACAAATACATATTTG